TACTTAGACCCATTTCAGCCTCTGTGGTTGTCTAATTTCCAGGTTGATCAAGGACACGATGTCACCGCTTCCCTACAGACTAAGATATTAAAAGTGAGGCACGAAACAGAAGAGCTTTTGCTGAGCTCTGTCTATGATGCTGGTGCAGCAGCGTTAGAGGCGGCAGCACTGATGCATAGACCCAACAGGATTGCAGAGGCTGAAAGAGCCAGTGGGTGCAGGAGCAGTGCTAACAGTGCCGTAAGTACACAGGTTGTGGTGGTCCCCAGGGCCTGTCCAGAAGAAGTGTTTGCAAGCATTGCTGTTTCATAGTGCACAAATATCACTGGGGATAAGGCAAAGGTGGAAGGCTAGAGCAAATATAGTACTCGATCTTCAGCTTGATAAATAGATAAGAGCTCTGTTCTCTTCCCCCTTGTGTTTAACTGAGCCTTTCCAGTATCTGTCGGTTTGTGGTGTTCCTGGTGGTTATTAATACCTCTGACAGCTTCCAATTGTGCTGCATTGTTAGAAGTGTTCTCCTGGAAATCACAGGTGAATTGGCAGGTCTGAAGGGTTGACAGCTTGTCAAAATATAGCTTCTAGGTGCAGTCATCTAAGCTTTCATTCTCTCAAAACTAGTATAGAACATAGCATTGACAGCCCGGAGACTGAAACTGTTTTTTGATGGGTCAGGTAAAGCACACTGTGTGACAGGGCATACTCCTCTAATGTGCAGAAGTGTCTCCTGTCAACTATGGAGAGAGGGGAGTGGGGACTTTGGGATTATAGCCATCCCTTTTGAGTGGAAAAAGTTACGTGGTTGGGCATCGATACGTTAAAATACCAAGAATTGCCCATCTTTACCAACTGCAGGGAACTGAATAACCCTTTCCCTGTAGACTGGGAACTGCAGCAGGCAGCTTTTGCTTTCTCCCTGCTTTGACAGCTCTCACGCAGGCTGCAAGTGACTAGGTCCAACCTCACCCTATTCTTCCCCTTCAGAAAATCCTACTTACACGACTACCTGAGAGAGTGCTTCATCCTTGCCCTGAGTTACCAGGAAGGCAGCTGAGTTTCCATCTCTGATATTTGGCCTTCCCTGTGGAATTGATAAAAATATGAGTCAGTGCTGGGTGCAGTGGCAGTTTTGGTAATACAGGATCCACTCCCAGTGGAGCTCAAGCTAATGCTACTGAACTCCTCATGGGTGCCTCCTAATTCCTCCTTGCTGACATCAAACTGGACAGACACTGAACTAACAGCTTAAAAATTCCATCTCCAGTCACTCTTTCCTCCTAGACAAACCCACCTCTGTACTTGACAAGAAGTTGATGGAACGAAGCTCTAGTAGCTCTGGAAAACTTTTTTCTTTTCCTCATCCCAACACCCACTACTGTGCAGCAAGACAGAAGAAGTTAGTTATTTCCAACAGGAACTTTAAAGTATATTGACACCAACTGCCTGCTGAGTGCCTGTTCTTTAAATGCTGCTTCTTAACAGTTCACTTCAGAGTAATTAATGAAGGGTAATACTATTCCTCCAGTAAACCTCTTTCTTTAGTTTCCTTGCCTGTAACAGCCATGCAGGTGGATGGCAGACCAGGAACAGAACCGCTGTCTCCTGCATCCCGCTCCAGGCTCCTTCCTGAAAATAGGAAATTACTTTAAGCTTATTATTGTCTTTGAAAAGAAAGTATACAGTTTTAGCATCCATTAGATACAATCATTAAAGTCTCCCTCTCTTGCCTCCCTTCCGTCAGGGAGGATAACTTTTCACTTCTTTTTCTCCCTGTAATGCATACTCTAAAACAGGGAGACAGGAGGTTCGTACTATTCTGTCTGCAAGTGGAGTGGGTAAGGAAGCCTGGTCCTGAAAAAGGTGCAAAAATGAGTTACTGAGAGAGAAACACTAGAGGAGTGCTCCTACAGGAAGGGCTAAAAGAATTTTAATAAGCATGGGAGTGCTTTCCCTCTCAAATGTGAACACCTTTCCAAAATAATAGGAAGGAGAATGTCAGAAATCCAACCAGTCCAGAAAGCAGTGCAGTTTTCAAGAGAAAATACTTGTGGTTTTTTTGTAAGTTGGCAGTATTTAAAATATCTTCAGATTTACTCTGTCTAAGGGTGAGTTTTCTAACTGGGGAAGAAGCAGAAATGAAGTCTGAATATTTAGCTGGGCTCTTTGACTCAACCCTGCTTGTATTCTGAGAAACTCTCACAGTAAGTGCAACAGAGCCAGCATTTCCAACAAAGCAAGCTCCCAACTTGGGACTTCCTGGGGAAAGTAAAGCTGTGCGGAGCTCTCAAACGACCCGCAGGTGCCCAGGCTGGAGCGTTTCCCCTGGGGGATTAAAAACCAGATTACTTGTTCTGCCTGTGCACACTGGAGAAGAGGGAGATGTAAGAATGTGTGTAAGTGTGAGCAGCGCATGTGGCTGCGGAGGGGTCAGTGACGCCTTTGATGCTGCAGGGAGGGAAGGCCAGGCCTGGGGAGGGCTGGCCTTGTGCCCCTTATTCCTCTGCTGTTGTGGCCATTTCAAAACAGAAACTGAAAGAGATTTCTTTCTTCTGGCTGAAAAGCAAATACGTGGAAACTAGTACAGCTGTTTTATCAGGGGTAAACAGATGCTTTCTGCACTTTGAAATCAGCCACTTTGTGTCTCCTTTATCTTCTCTACCCAACGTGGAAACGTACAGCTGTTTTATCAGGGGTAAACAGATGCTTTCTGCACTTTGAAATCAGCCACTTTGTGTCTCCTTTATCAAGAAGTGTAGTGGATCGTTTAAAGACTGGTGGAAAGATTGTGCTGCCAAGAAGGGCTTGCTCCTGCTTATAAGTTTAGCAGCAGCCGTGGTGTTAGCGCAGCTGGAATCAAAATTGCTGCAGCTGCTGACGGCTGAAGTTGGGCCTCTCCCCAGGTAACCTTTGCTGTCTGGCTGATCTGGTCACTGAGGGTGTCGTCTCCACCCACCCCCAGATCTTTCTTACAAATGCTTTCAGAATAAAATGTTTTGAGGAAGCATACCTGGGTGGTTCAACATTTTAGCTGACCATTTCCAGACTTCTTGCTAGGGCTGTTTGGAAATACTGTGCAGGATTAACTCCTGTGGTTACTACTAGTGATGACCAGAGCCAGGGAGATGGTGGCCGCGGCTGTGTGTGTTTCTGCCGAGTCCTTTGGCATCATCCCATATGTACCGATTTTAGTATGTCTGGAGATTTCACAGGTCTGTTTTTCACTAGATGGAAATCATAACTTTTGCTCAGTTAAGCAGCTTGATTACTAGCTAATGTGTCATTTTGTCTGGTTCCTTATTCTACATCTTAAATTTATGTCAAAACTTTATCTAATCCTTTGCCTGCTGCAGCCTATCAAGACTAGCCAGCATGATTTTGACTTGAGGCACAATTCTGCAGCTGATTATTTCCCCCCTCACTTTTTTAACTTTGTGAACACCATGTATCCAGAAACGGTTTTGTATGTGCTCTTTCACTGGAGATGAAGTTCACTGTACATCCAGGAGTCCTTTAGGTTTCTTCCAGTTTTCTCAGCTGGATATTAAGTGTCTGTATGTGGTTAACTAACAAGATCACAGTGAAGGTAGTTCCTTTAATTATTTTGATCCTGTTTTCTCTGTTTTGTTTTGTGATGCTATGCAGCTGGCCTCTGTCAGAGTTATTAAATTGGCCTCCTATAAAATGTTAATTTAACTGTGATATAGTAGATGAAAAGACACCAGACTTGGCAGGGTTTGGATGATGTTGTTTGTGGACGTTTGTATGTAGTGCCTGAACCAAGTATCCACCAGCTGATTGAAGCACGTTGGTAAACTCTTGCTTTTCTGCAGTACTGTGATAAGAGTTGGTTCAGTTACTGTATGTTTCACTTAAGGTATTGAAATATTTTCTAAAAGTAGCAGAGTGGTTTCAGCTCTGCTTTACAGGTGTAGAAAAATATAGATATAACATGGTAATTTGAAAGTCATGGGCTAAAGGCAGTGGGACTCCCTGCAGTTAGACCTTGCTATAACCAACAGTGTTCTGGTGTTGATGGTAGTGATGTTCTAAAGATGCTTGGTATAAGCTTGAACTGTATTTGTTTCCAGTAGCAGCTACTAATTTGGGATATTTCATTTGATACCTAAAGTGATCAGCCCTCATTCTGGAGGGCAAACACTCAGTACTTTCTGAAAACTGTGTTGCTCTAGAATATGTTACGCTGTGCTTTAAAAAAACCCAAAACTGTAAATAGAAATCACTTTTAATATTCACTTCATGACAGTTAATAAAGACATTTTTAAAAATCTGAATCTTTTTATGCAGGCTTGAACAGGTGGAGTGTTCAGGATCATACATTTCTTTTCCAGTCCTACTGTGTCCTGTATTATTTATCATCTTTTAATGGAGACAAGCTTTTTGGAAGTATTCTGTTGTATGGATTTGGGCAAGAAGACCTTGTTGGAAATGTTCTTGAAACAGACATCATGAAACATAATTGTACACAGCAATAATACGGTTTTGCTATTAACAAGATGTTATGTCTGGCACATGAAAGTTGGTAGGGACACAAGCAGAGATGCAGTGTTTCATCAACTTTTGGTTCTCTTGTGCTGAAGTGCAGGGAGGGACCCTTCCATATGATCTAATTTATCTGAGGGCTGTAGTGACATTGGGTTGTCCTGGATCATTGATTTTGGAAAGAGAAGAAACACACAATTGAAAAAAGTTGCCTCCTATTCTACACAAAAAGCCCGAAGCACCTGTGGCAAAGAGCCTGTGTCTTAAAATGCACAGGGAAAATTTTAGTACAGTTCCATGGAATTAAGTAGGGTGTGAAACGTAATCAATAAATGGCCAGTTTTGAGCATAAAGACAAGTCATGGGTTTTCTTGTGCAGCTGTTCCTGTGGGGAAAAATGGAATAGTAATTATCAGTTGAGTTCAAAGTTAATATTTATACAGCAAGTTGATAGGATAACTATTCAAATATTTGGCACTTGCTTGTTTTCATTACAGGAATTGCAAAGCTCAGGGAGAGGACGCTTTCTACTGGAACATGCTGCTCCCTTCTCTGCTTTTTTGACAGACAGCTTTGGGCGTCAGCACAACTACTTGCGAATTTCTTTGACTGAGAAATGCAACCTCAGGTGTAAGTGTCTGCTTGCTTTCTTGCACAAAGCTCTTATGCACCATATCGTGCAAAGGTCAAGAATTGAGTTAGGGTTCTTATTGCTGTGTTGGCCCTGTGCTGTTTCTTGTCTTCACAAAATAATATGGTGAAGGATAGATAGAGACTGATTTGGGGCTGCGCTGCTGGAGGAATGGAGAAGCAGGAGTAAGCCTAGGGATCTGCCAGAGGTAGATGGGAGTGACAGGTCTTTCATCAGACTTGGTGTGGTTTGGATGATGGTGCTTGTGGATGTTTGTATGCCGTACCCAAAGTGTGTGAGGAGCATGCCCTAGGCATTCCCACAATTACGTCTGCAAAGTTTGTGGCAATGTCCCAGTGCTTGCCAGTTCAGTTTGGTGTCTCTGTTTGAATGCAGGTTAGATAGAAATAAGATCAGCTTTTCCTTCAAAGTGGATCCATTGTAATTTTGAGACCTATCAAGTGAGTCTTGGGTTTTCTTCTGAAGGAAAACAAGAAATTGTAGGAGATTGTAAGATTTGGTGTATGATCTTATCTGTATTTCAGAAAAGCAGAGTTGTTTGACATCCATTAAAGATGGTTGCACTCGGTGCATTTTGCCCATCAATATTAGATTAACTGCTGCTGGTTATTTTTTTCCCATGTATTTCTGTATTCTTTGTTTCAGGTCAGTATTGTATGCCAGAGGAAGGTGTTCAGCTAACCCCTAAATCGGAGCTACTTACTGCTCAGGAGATAATCACCCTAGCCAGACTGTTTGTGAAAGAAGGTGTAGAGAAGATCCGACTGACAGGAGGAGAGCCACTTATCCGTCCCGATGTGGTTGACATTGTGGGTGAGTTCCCAATAAATACAGTGTGTTTCAAAGTTACTTGCTATATATTGATCCAAGAACTACGTTTATAACTATCTACTAATACAGTCCAGCAACCTGAAGAATAATTATACATTAAACAACGGTGCTTTTTCCCAACATTGTGAAATGCAAGATAGTTCCTTTCAGAAAACTTCCAGTTCTGCTCTCCTGCTTGGATGGAACTTACCTCTCTTGATATTATAACAGCTGAACTTAGCGTTGTCTTCATGTTCAACAACTACTAGAATAGCTTGCAATAATGCAGCCTTGGGGTGAAAAATCAAGAATTGATGTGACCAGGTCCTCACTAGGGAGGAACAGTTGACAACCTGTTTTCTTTGTAAGCACTTTTCTTCTGGATTTTTGGGGGGTTTTGTTTTGTGGTTTTGTTTTGTTGCCTTGATAAACACAGACAAGCAAGTGACATCTGTTAATAAGGAGTGGTGGAAATGCCTGTTTTTACAGTTATTGATGAAGACTATTACTTCAATGGAAGATAAATTACTGGGTAATTTTAGAAGCCTATCTCCTTCAATTGGTGTTGTGTTGACTGACTGCACCTGTTTTTTTTGTTGAGCCCGGTGCTTTTTTCCCTGTCCAAAGTCTTGTATGTTATGGACATTACAATAGCTTTGTGTAGCGGCAATGTATTAGATTAAGGCTATGTAGGTGGGTGCACTTTGGTGTATTGTAGGCAACTGAACTTGTCTGTTTCTGCACGTATACTTGTTATAAGTACTGTAGATAACAAAAGATTAATATGGAAGATGAAGGTCTTGAAAGTAGAGTAACTGCCTACTGATACACTGAGCTTTAGTGCAGAAAACAGTTGGTCTCGGCTCCTGCTCTGTTTTCATTATTCTGCCTGTGTTCTTGTTCACAGCTGAACTTTGACAGATTCATAGTGATCATTTTAATGGATAACGAGAGTAGTGATCTTAGGGTAAAGGAAATGGATGTTAAGATGATTGTCCTGTTGCATTAGTTCATTCTGTCATGAATTTGTATTAGCCTGGCTGGTTTTTTTCTAAGGTATATTGAAAATTGGCAAATTAAGTCTATAAACACTTTTAGTCTTCTCAGACTTTGGCGTTACTCTATGGTGCACAAGTTTGGGATCAAGATAAAAGTCTCAAAACTAAAGAGATCATGTGTGACAACTATGGGAAAACTCATTGAAGGGAAAACAAGTCTAAAAATGTCTTCTGCAGAATTTGAGTTATAGAATCATAGAATCATTAAGGTTGGAAGAGGCCTCTGAGATCATCGAGTCCAACCACCTACCCAACACCACCATGCCCACTTAAACCATGTCCCTAAGCGCCTCATCTACACGTCTTTTAAATACCTCCAGGGATGGGGACTCAACCACTTCCCTGGGCAGCCTGTTCCAATGTTTAACCACTCTTTCAGTAAAGAAATTTTTCCTCATGTCCAATCTAAACCTCCCCTGGAGCAACTTGAGGTCGTTTCCTCTCGTCCTATCACTAGTTACTTGGGAGAAGAGACCGACACCCCCCTCGCTACAA